ACCAGATGGTCGCCAAAAACAGATTTGTGCTTTTCACATGAGATAATTCAAGTAGTACCGTAAACTTTGAATGTTCTTCCTCTCCCTCTGTTTATCTCCACTGTCTCCATTGGTTCCCCCCTCTTCCTCATCACCACCACCACATTCATGATCTTCCAGCTTCCTTCATCGCCCTGTCTCTACGGGTTCGATGACCTTATCCAAAAGTTCGCATCGTTCACACACTCTACTTGTTCCTCAACAGCTGATCCCATGTCTGAATCTTTCTTACACCGTTTTACTACTCCTATTACGACAGTTGGTAGCCGAGTGGCATGGCGCGAAATACAAATGTCGGTTGAAAACCTCATGGAAGAGATGTTGGTGAACTGGAAAGACCTCGACCCCGGTTATCGCATGTGCTGGTTGTCAATTTTCTGCGAATTCCCGACCTACGCACACAATTAAACCCATCCCTTCACGCCATTGAGTTTGGGGAACAGCCTGTGTGTGGTGCTATGAGCACCCACCTTGTCATTGTCACTGAGTTCGAGGCGGATATATGGTTAGGGTACGGACCTACTGACGTGAGAGTCGGTGGTTGGAACCCAACCCATTCCGACTGCCCCTATTTAGGCTCGGGGAAGCTGGCAGTAACTCAGTTCTCGTGCTCCCATCAGGTTGCGTGGCAGCTACGCACTGAAAGTGTGTTGTAGCCAACGATTTTTTACTCGCTTGCTCTCAAAATCGTCTCTCGATGGGTCATCATCATCATCAACATCAGCTGTAAGAACCGCGTACTCGTCGTACACTGGTTGTAGCTGCCGCAGTTTCGTTCACCGATGATTTGGGGGATGAGGGGTAAGTAGCTTCGCATTGCACGCGCGAGCTGGTAAATTGGTGCATAAATCCAGCACTGTCAGTATGCTGTCAAGTGGGGGGTTGGAAATGGAGCTATGCATTGAAGCCAATAGCTTTGATGCACGAGCGCCATTGAGGGCGCGAGTGGTCCATGTCTGATAATGTCTCTAGCAATTGATGTGGCCTGTCTCGGGGTCCTCATCCAGGAAGACGCCAGTGAACAGCGCAGCTGAGTTTGCTGGTAATGGCTTTGATACTTCGCTGCCAAGTCATTGTTCGAACGCCTCTGGCTTTCTTCCACCCTTCACCTGGTTGTGCGAAAAGAGCCCTTCGAGGAAGTCGGTCGACTGGCATACGCAGCACGTGGCCAAGCCAGCGCAATGGGTACTTTGCTTCTTAATGGTAAGAAGTACTGTGGCACAATTTGACATCTGTAGTGGTTATGTTTCAATCAAGGAGACAGTGGTTCCTGCCCTGACACACAACTTACGGCAGCCAGTCTGTCTGACAATGATTTCCATAGGACACAAGATGTCACTTCGAATGATATACGACTGACCGGTAAGTCGTAACGGTAAAATGGAAAGTCTTGTTTTCCGCAAAGAAAAAAACCTCCAGCACTATTTTCAACTGCATAATCTTCGCTCTTTTCCCCTCTAGCATTTATTTCACTGCAGCTCTGCTTTTCCACAAAAACGCTTACCTGCGTTGTTTTTCTCCACACAATCGCAGGTTTTTGTTCCGCACGTTTTTTGCTCGAGGTTCATTTTTAAACAACATTTTCCTTCCTGCAGTTTGTCTCTTTTCTGTGCCATTTTCGTGATCTTTCTTCGTGTGCTTGATATTCTCCTAGGTTTTATATTCTTACCCCGATAATTGTCTGTCAGTTTATGCGTATTTCAGTAGCTGAGTTCGACTGGTTTTTCTTACTCTCCAACGCGAATCGTTAGGGACTCAGTCACTGTTGTTTGTCGGTTTGATTGGAGACCACGAGATAATTGAGTACACTCTCCCTCCCTCACGTTATTGTCATTAATTTGAACGGCAGCGAGAAAAAACGTTTTATTTCCTTCCGACGGGCGGGGACATATATGAAGTCAAGTATACTTTCGTTTACCTCTTCCTCGGGTATTTTGGCGTACGGTAGGAGCCTACGAATACGTTTTCTCGAAAAGACAAAGCTCGGATACTCAGTATGTACGAAAGAACCCGTTTGAAGGTGGACCGGAATCAGGGGATCCCTTTTACATGCGTGTACCGTTGGTAAACAGTACTGTTTGCGCACTTCCCTGTCTAGGCTTGGGCAACTTGGCAGTATCCCAGCCCTCGTGCCTCCTTCGCGTGGCATGGCAGCTAGGCACCGAAAGGGTGCTACAGCTTAACGACTGTTTATTATTTTTTTGCGTACTTGGTAGGGGACCTACATTTGGCAGACAAGGTTCGGACAGTTTGAATTTACCTCGAGTTATTTGTTTTAGTTCCTGACAATCGTCCCTGATCTTCGCATTCCCAAAATTGACCAAATTTTCATCTGGATTCTTGTTCGTTTCGTTGCGCCTGCACCTCTCCGCATCCCTATAAGCACAAGCGAGTCCTCGAGTCTGGTGGTAATGTGTGAACTATTTGCGGCAGAGACGATGTACGTCAGTCACAGCGCGATTCATTTGAAATCGCATGAGATGGAGAACAGATAATTTTTTTTCTGGATCAAACTGTCAGCGATACTGAATTTAGCATCCTTTTTGCAGCAGTAGGATTGCTTTGAGTGTGGAAGCCAACTTGTCACGAT